GTTGCCTCTCACATGCCCCCTACTGGGGACCTGGCCCACAACCCAGGCATGTGCCCTGACTGGGAATCGAGCCAGTGCCCCTTTGGTTCACAAGCCAGCACGCAATCCACTGAGCCACACTAGCCAGGGCTGACTGTTTTTTTTTTAATCTTCACTGGAGGACATGCTTTTAGAGAGGGAGGGAGGGGAGGGAGAGAGAAACATCAACTGGTAGCTTCTTGTAGGCTCCCCAACCACGTATCAAACCCCAAATCCAGATATGTACCCCGGCCAGGAATTGAACCCACAGCCTTTCAGTGTACTGGACAACATGCCAACCAATTAGGCCCCACTAGCCTGGGCTCATGCCAATACCTTGATTTCTAACCTCAAGCTCTAGAACTGTGACAGAATAAATCCCTACTTTTTCAAGCCACTTGGATTGTGGTACTTGTTAAACAACCCTAGGAAATTAATACACCGTGAGTCCATTGTACACCGAGAAGTCATATTCCACTTCTCAGATTCCCAGTCATTGGCCTTGGAGGTTAATGGAGGCCTGGGCCTGTGAGAAGTCATTGTAAACTCTCCTTTACCTCCCTGGCCCAGGTTGGCCTGAAGTCCATCCGCTGTGCTTCTTCCGTGTTCTAGGTCTCTATCCACCCCACTGGGCCCTTCCATCAGGTAGACAAACACCCTCTGAGCCTGGTCTCCTGGTCAGCAGTCTGTGCCCCCACCCCCATCCCTACATCCACCCAGGCCATCCTCTAAAGACACCTGCAAAGCTATGTTTTTGAAATGCAAATCTGACCCAGGCTAGCTTTATCCTCTTCCCTTATTCCCCACCCCCTGTAAGTCAAGATTTTCAGCCTGTGCCAGACTGGCCCCAGCCTTCCTCTCAGGCCTCATATCCCAGCCACACACCCCACCCATCCCGACCACTCACCGCCTTCTCCAACCACATGGAGCTTCTTGGATTTGCCCTAACAAGCCATAGTGCCTTTGCACATGTTGCTCCAACTACCCGGAAGATAAAACCCAGCTCCAAAAAACCATCCCTCTCCCCCATGGAGCTTTTTCCTCCGGGAACAGCCACATCCTGGCACCTTGTACACCGTACACATTGACCTGTCTGCCCCCATGCCTAGCCTGTGAACACTTGTATTCATTTCTGTTTCTGTTAGGCTTAGGATTGGCAAAGGCATTCAAGAATGTTGAACTGAATGGTGGAGCAGCCATAATGGCAATAATCATTAACATTTACCAAATGTTTGCTATGTGCTTAGCACTGTGAAAAGCATTCCTTGTATCTTACCTCGTTTTGTTCTCAAAACAATGCTACGAAACAGATACAATCATTGGTCCTGTTTTACAGGTGAGGAAATGAAGAGATAAGGTCACTTGGCCAAGGTCACCCAAATAGCATATAGCAAAGCCCAAACGACTCTAGAGCCAGTGCTAGTAACCAATACTATGTGTTCAGCCCCTCCCAATACACTCATTTTACAAAAGAGGAAACAAGCAAGAAAGAAGAAGTGACTTGTCCACAGTCAGTAACAAGGCAGGGACCCTAACCTTTAGATTCCTTAACTCAGTGCTCTTCCTTTTCCCATTCTTGCAGGATCCTAATCCAGGAGGACACAGAAAACAAGCTGGGCTATATCTCCTGAACAGCTTTCTCCTGCCTTCCCTGGAACAGAACTCAGCATGAGCCCGGGCACAGTGAGGGCTCAAATCTATGGCCACGAGATGCAGCAAAGAGACAGATAAATGTGCCTCAAAAACATCTGAGGCCTGCTTAGGTATTGCAATGTCAGGGCTTGAGAAAAAACTTGGGGTATCATTTAGTACCATCTCCCATTCTATAAAGGTACCCATTCAAGAAATTCATTGAACACCAATCATAAGCCAGGCACTGAGTGGGGACACTAGAAGGCTGATAATTGAGTTCCTGCCCAGTGGTATTTGCAATCCAGTGAGAGAAGACGAACAGCTAACAGGTTCATGTATAATTACAAACTCTCATAAGTACTATAAAATACCGGAAGCTCTAAGAACGTACAACAGAAAAATCAGACTTAGCCTAGGGAGTTGGTGAAGCCCAGTGCGCCCTGAGAAAGTGACTCTTGGCTGAAATCCGAAGAGTGGGAGTTAATGAAGATAAGAAGCAGGGAATGTGTGTACTAGACAAAGGGAACAGTACTAGACAGAGGGAACAGTGTGTGCAAAATCCCAGAGGCGACAGAGTTCCTGCTGCCTTGATGAACTGAAAGAAGGCCAGAGTGGCTGGTTTCCAGAGGGGTAGACAGAGACTCCATCCTGCAGGTCTTGTAGGTCAAGGTAAGGAGTGGAGAAACTGAGCAGAGCCGGACACCTCTGGTCCAGAACCTGGCCCAGCACAGACGCTGTCCATTGCACAATTCAGTGAAGGAGTGATTTGTCCAAGATCACAAGGAAGACCTGGGACTTGAAACCAGTACCGCTATCTGCCAGGTTAGGGTTGCAGGCTACTTCAGGTATGTGTATGGGAGGAAGCAGGGGAGGCCTTCCAGGTGTTTCAGCCAAGAGGAGGTTCTGGCTCCCTGTCTGCACTTCTCTCCAGCTCTAGAGTACCCCAGAATCACCTGCGTTTGTAAAACCGACTGCTGGGCTGCACCACCAAAGTTATTAATTCAGTAAGTCTGGCATAAGGCCCAAGAATTTACCTTCCCAAAAAAGATCCCAGGTGATCCTGTTGCTGTTGATGGGGTGACCATACGCTGAGAACCACTGCTCTGCACTAGAGTATATGGGTGCTGAGGGGAAGGGGGAGTGGAGACCATGGCCTGGATCCTCCAGGGCTAAAAGGGTAGATTCCTAAATCCCAGTGACAATGAGACAAACTCTTGTACTCTGAGAAAGAGAAGGGGCCTCAAAATCCCAGAATCCAGCCTAATAGCTTCTCAGCCAGGGAAACTGAGGCTTAGGGCATTTAGACTGACATAAGACAAGCCCACTAAAAATGTATTGAGTGAACAGGTAAATGCATACAGGGTTTGACCGAAGTCAAAGACAGACTGGTCACTCAGATGCCAGGGCTCCTGAACTCCGGGCCTTTCTTGTCCTGGGAAAGGAATTCGGGGAAGGGGACCACAAGCTCAGCTTTTCCCAGCTTCTGCTGCCTTGGGCAGGGAAACATTTTAAGAATTGCAGAAATCTGCTGTTGGCCTCCAATCCTATCACCCATCACCCTCCTTCCTTTCACACTCCCAGCTCCCTCCCTTTACACTCCAAAGCCTGTGCACTTTATCCTGGCAAGCAGGCAGCAGAGGGGGAGGTGAAGTTACAGGGAAAAAGAACTGGAAGTGAAGGGAGGATTCTTGCCCTTGAATATACTTCTTTTAGAATAACTCCTCTCTCCCATAAGAGTCTCAGTTTCTCTCTGTCCTTGTATCCAGTCTTACCCCAATCTAGCTACCACCTTTTCACCCAGTTTTTCTAAAATAGAATGGCCCTGCACAAAATTTTTCTATCCTATTCCAGTTGGCAGCAAAATGCCACTTCTCTTGCAAATGCACATGCACAGTCTCACTAATATACAATCAGCTAGACGTAGATAAAAACAAATATACCAGAATTTATAAAAACACATACGCATCAAGAAATACATCATTCACTGTTCACTGATAAACCATACCTAAGCACCAAAATGCATAAGAAATACACAGCACACATGCACACAGACTATAGATCTAGAAACGCATGCACTGCATCCATGGAAAAGGGGGTATGTACACACCAGAGACCTCTCTCAAAGTGCAGGTCTCCTGAGGGGGGATTCCTGGTGGGGGAGTGGGGGTGGGTGCTGGCCCTTTAAGAGAGTGGTCCTCCCTCCTCCTTTCAGAGGGCAGTAAGATGTGGCTCCACTCTCAGTGCAGGGTGAGAGGGGAGTGTGGTTGACCTGGCCAGGCCAGTCTGGCCCTGGACGACGGTCCCAGCTCCGAGACAGGAAATGGATTCCTGAATCGACTGGGACACCAGCCTGAGGCCCGTTGTCGCTGCCGCTGCTACCTCCACCACCCCACACCCACACCCACACCCCACACACCCCGGGCTTCGGACGGGACACGCCCTCCGCTCCAGCTGGACCGGGTACGCGGGCTCCCGCTGTCAGTCGCGCTCCCTCATGCCCCCAGGGTGGGGCTGCCCACCTGCTAGCAGGGCGTCTCCTCCTCCCGCCCCCCAGGGCGCTCCCGTGGGCCCGCCGCGGGGTGGGCCCGCCACCCACTGCCCGGCCAGGTGCCCCGCTCCCTGCGACCGCGGCGCCTCGGCCGCCGCCCCCACCCCTTCCTGCCGGCAGTGCGGAGACAAAGCCGCGCACACTCACACGGGGGCTACGCGGGTGCACACCCAACCTTGCACGCGCACACACGGGGAGTCACACTGGCGCTCACGGCGACACACACACACCCCCCGCCACAGGCTGCCGCCACAAGCAAAGCCACTGGCACACACCCTCACCGAGAGGTACACACACTCCGCCACACATTCGGACACACCCTCTCACAGACACATTCACGGAGACACACGCAGACACACACACCCTCTCCCAGTTCAGGCGCGGAGACACACGAGGCACACACACGGATGCACACACATGCACACCCGGGGCACACGCGCACACGCGCGCACACGGAGCATCCACTTGCACTGATCCACGTCCACTCGCGCGCTCACAGCCAACACACACCCGGCGATGTGGATCCAGACACACATACCGGCGCCAGGATCTGGTCAAACGAACCGAAGCCGGGCTTCTGCCTCGCGCGCCCGCCCCCTGCCCGGTGGCGTCCAGAACCCCGGAGCCTGCCCGCCCGCCCGCCCGCCGGCCGGTGCTCGAGGACCTGAGACCGAACCTGGAGCCCTCTGTGATCACCTCCAACACACACACACACACACACACACGCACACACACACACGCACGCACGAGCTGGGCCGCGGCGGGGTCCTCTGGCCCCGAGGAGGGCAGCGGGACGGCTAACCTGGCGGCGGCGCGGCTTCCGGCGCTGTCTGTCCTCGATCCGTGCGTCCGGCGGCCGCCCGGGTGGGCTCCGAGGCGCGCTCGAGCTGCGCAGAAAAGCCCCGCTCGCTCCCTCGCTCCCTCCCACAGCGCTCAGCCCCCTCCCCGCCCGCCCGCCCGCCCCTGCACCCGGTCTCCCCAGTCCGCCCCGCCCCGCCCCGGCCGGCTCGCCCGAGGAGGCGGCGGCGATCCCGGCTGCCCAGGCAGCGGCGGCGGGCGGGCGAGAGAGGAGCAGCGGCCAGCAGCGAGTGGCGAACAGCCGGGGGAGCGCCGGAGCCGAGCGTCGGGAGGAGCCGCGTCGTCCCGGGGAGGAGAGGAGGGGAGGGGGCTGAGCCCCACGAGCCCGCCTGGCGCTGGTGGCCCGCTGCCCGCTTCCCCACGTGGGCCCCGCGCCCGGCGCCTACCTGAGCCACTGCCGTGCTCAGAGGCCGGGGGGCCAGCGGCGGGGCGAGGAAGTGGAGACCCGGACCCCAGGCCTCATCGCTCTCTCGGTCCCAGCCGGTGGGCTCAGGCCCCGCTCCCGCCTCCTCCCGGTCTCCGCCAGTGCCGACCTCGGTTTTCCCTGGCTGGGATGCCTCGGCTCTGGGCCCAGTGCCCTGGGCTAACCCCGCGGCCAGGCGCTGAGCTCGCCGGCCTGCTACACCTCCAGCCCGGACCTGGCCGACGCCCACCGGCTTCCCCACCGCCCTCCCATTGTTTCCGTGGCGGGAGCTCTCGGAAGATCACGCCACGCATTCCAGCCCCCTCTTAGGTGGCAATACCTCTGGACCCTCTGGAGGCTCTCGAAGCGCTGGCCTCTGGCTCTGGACCCGACGCCCACCGTCCACAGGCGCTGGCACACCCAAAGTAAAGAGCTTTTCTAAATCACCACCACAGCCCTTGCAGGCGCTCTTTCAGGAAGGGAGGAACTAACCCAAGTTCAGCAAGCCCGAAAGAGCAGCGGGAGAAGGTGGGGCACGGATTAGTTGTCCCCATTCCACAGATGAAGAAACCTAGAGAATTCCTGCCCCAGAGCTCCTGGGAAGTGTAGGGCTCTCCAGAAATGTAGGGAATAATGAGCCTGGCCTTCTTTGTTGGACACTAAATAAAGCACAGAGTGGGGGTGGGGGGCAGGGAGTAAGTGGTTCCTGCATGCACCTTCCTGGGTTTAACTGGAAGTCAAGAGGTAAGAAAAGGCCTGCTTAAGTACAGGAACTCTCAACTCCTTTGTCTCTCTTAGTCCTGACCATGGCCCTATGTAGCAGCTGTGTTTATCCCCACTTTCCAGACGAGAAGCTTGTCTTAGGTCTCCCCACCAGGCAGCACAGAGCCAATACAGTCCAACAATTACCGAAGTTTACTGCACTCCTCCCTCCAGTACAGGTACTAAGTGCCAAGCGAGCAGCTGAGAGCAAAAGAAATGAAGGAGGGACTTCTACAAACTCGGAGAGGGCAGAAATGGGGGAGCTGAGGCCATAGAGCAGGACTGAGCATGGCCTGGGGGCTGGAGGAATTATAATGAATAATAAAACTAGTGTGTTTGGAGCACTTGCTGAGTTCCAGGCACTGTTGTAAGAGCTTCACTTGCACTGACTCATTTAATCCCACAATAATGCTGTGGGAAAGAGGTTAGTCTTATCCCCACTTTATATACCAGGAAACTAAAACACAGAGACGCTACTAGCTTGCAAAGTGGCAAAGCTAAAATCCAAACCCCAGAAGCTGATTCCCAAGCCCGTACTGTTAACTACCGAAGGCCAGACAGGAACAACCCTGAATTCGAGGCAACTGTTTAAATGACAAGATCCCCCCACCACACTACTGTCTCCCTGTGCATCACCGGTCTCCAGCCCACAGGGCCTGGTATGCGGCCTGGCTGGTTAAACTACAGTATAGCTGCCAGTATAGCTGCCATGTGAGGCTGGAGCGCTCGGCTGCAGCTCTCTCTGCTCTGCTGGGCGCTTTTATCAGCGGTTATAGATGAAGCAGAGGAAGGCCTGAAACACTAATCAAATCTACAGCTGTCATAAAGTTGGGATGGACAGGAAACCCTCCGGACACCAACATTCATTTCCAAAAGATCTCAGTAGCTTTGGGGCTAAGCTGAAACTGACAAGATAAAATGCTACACAGGATAGATGTAAACTCCTGCCCTTCGCTCCAAACCAGAGCAAGTCCCATAGAACTTTCTGTGATGTTGGAAACTGTCCTGAATCTTCATTGTCTGAAATAGTAGCCACTAGCCACCTGTGGCTGTTGAGCATTGACACGTGGCTGGTATAACTAAGAAACTAAAATAATTGCATTTCATTTTAAGGACTTTAAATGTAAATAGCCACATGGGGCTGTGGCTGCCACATCAGACAGCACAGTTCTAAATGATCAAAGGCCCAAAATAAAGGATAGAAAGACACTAGATTAAGAGCAGTTTCAGGGAAAATGACTTAAAGGTCTGAGCTGACCTCAGGCTCAACAATGCAATGTGGCCAAACAATAAAAAGAAGAAGAAAAAGAAGGAAGGGAGGGGAAAGAGAAGGGAAAAGGGAAGGAAGAGGGAAAAAGAACATGAGATGCTGCATCAACAGAACCCAGGGGTTGGACCTCTATGGCGAATCTCCCCGGAGGCTCCGTGCTGCCCTGCCGACCGCAGCTGGACTGCGGGCTTCAGCCCTGGGCTCCACATTCTGAGGGGCGCACTGCCTGCCACACTGGGGCAAGTCTAGAGAAGGAGACCAGAATGCTGGGTGCCATGTTGTGTAGTGAATGGTTTAAACAGCTCGGAGAAGGGAAAGTGCAAGGGGGATATAGCATGTGTCTAAAAACGTCTGAAGGGCTGTCATATAGAAGGAGATGAGATTTGTTTCTTGTCATTTAGGTCTAATAACAAACTATCCTGCAAACCGTCTAAGCCACGCTCTGTTTTCCTCAGCACCTAGTCCACCCAGGACCTGGTCCTTATTAAACATTGACAACAAATTTGCTAACAAGTGGATGTGAAAAAAAATTCCACTTGGCTCCAGTAGGTAGACATCCGGGAGGACAATGTCAGCCTACAATAAAGAACTCTCTAACAGTCAAAGCTGTCTAGGAATGGAATGGGCCACCTTGGGGGTGGTGAGCTTCCTGCCAACAGATGTATTTAAAGAAAGACAGTCTTCATTTGGAGGCTGAACCAGGAACCAGATGACCTTTCAAGTTGAAAGATGGGCAAGTTCTGCCCTGGCTGGGTGGTTCAGTTGGTTGGAGCATCACCTGGTGCACCAAAATGTTGCAGGTTCAATCCCCAGTCGGGGAACATACAGGAGGCAACCTACGGATGTTTCTCTCACATCAATGTCTGTCTGTCTGTCTCTCTATCTGCCCCCCTTCCTTCCTCTCTCTCTAAAATCAATTAAATTAAAAAACCATGTCCTTGGGTGAGAATTTGAAAAAAACAAGGAAAGAGAAAGAAAAATGGACAAGTTCTATTAGGAAGGAAAACACAAAATCAAGGCCTTGCTTCCAGACAGTTAACTGGCTCTGTGTATAGAACAAACTGATGTGGAGGGAGCAGAGGCAGGGTGGACCAATGAGGAACCACTGCAGTGGTCCAGCAAATACGAGAATAGCTGGGGGGTCGTGGGGATGGAAAACCAAGGACTGGTATGTGGCAACAGGAGCACTGCTCCCAGGCTGGGTGGGAGTCAGGAGCCACAGGTTCTAGTCCTGCTTCTGCCATGAGCTTATTGTACAGTCTCAGATAAATCCCTTCTCTTCTGTGGCTTTCAGTTTCCCCACCTGTGAAGTGCACAGCAATCTCCAAGCCTCTTCTAACTCTGGATTGTGTTTATGGGAGAGAGATTATGAAGGGTAACTGGGATAATGTACTAGACTGACTTAAATAGCTTCAAAGTAACAATATCATTGGCCTCATTACTATTATTATTATCAAGGCCACCTCCCTAGGACTTGGCAACTAGATTGGTAGGAAGGGACAAGAAGGAGTCAGTGCATCCGTAGGGGAGGGCTAGGGGCCAGGGACCTCTGATCTTTTGGGAGGGTCAGCTTGCCATGCCAGCCCTCCCCCAAGCTCCCCCAAGCTCCGTGAGGACAAGCAGTGTTCTGTGTGCTGTCACCTCATGAACTGCTTCCTCATTCCTCTGAGCCACACCCCATACTTGGCTAGGGAAAGCTACCAGTTCTAGGAAAGTTAGACTCCTTCCCCCTCCTTTCAGTGTTTACAAATGACACCTGGTGTTGTCTTTCCTTAAATAACAATATCATCATCTCATTTGAAAACCTCCAATATTATTGAGCACTATATGCTAAGCACTTTAGTTACAGAATTTTCTCACCCTGGGAGGTAGCTATAACTATCACCCCCATTTTCCAGACTGGGACGCTGTGGCTCATGGAGATGTACGATTTTCCCACAGTCACAAAGCTTACGAGGGGGTTCCCATACAAGCCTATGTGCTTTCAAGGCTACATTCCCAAAGGCTTTCAGCATTTTACTATGGATTTTTCCAACAACTTGGGGAGGAGAACAAGATTGGTATAGTATCCAATTTACAGGCGGGGAAACTAAAGCTCAGAGAGGTTAAACTTGGACAAGTTAGTTGAGTCTTCAATTTGCAGCTCAGCACTTTTTCCAGTCCTCTGCTGCTGTCCTGTGCCCCAGGAATGCTTTCGTCCTCCCTCTGACCTTCCAGGGCCTCCCCAGTCCTCCTAGACCGATGCCCAGCCCACTTAAGAGAAGGACTTTTACTTGTCCTTTTCCTGGAACAGATTAAGGAAAGGATTTCTGAAAGGCAAAGTTAATTCCTACCTTCTCCCTGCCCCTGACCAGCACATGTACCCCAGTCCTAGAGGTGACAGGGCTGAAAGCTTACAGAGTGAGTCACAGGGAGCTGACCTGCCAGAAAGCGCAACACAGGTGCTAAGCTTAGTTTAGAGGGGTGGAAAAGTAGGCCAAGTGTTCTCGTCCCCAGGAGCACAGCCCATTTGCACCTCATGCTCCCCTACCCCTCTCATCCCCAAATTCTGCAAATGTTTAGGAAACCTTGTGCAAGGCCTTGGGGGCAGAGAGGACACATGGCGTATAAGAGTGCATCCTCACCCTTCAGAGGGAATAAGACAGTAAG